TGCCCGTGTGTGTGTGTGTGTGCGTGGGTCTCTGCCTGTGTGTGTGTCTGTGTGCCCTGTGCCCTGCCTGTGTGTGTGTCTGTGTGCCCTGTGCCCTGCCTGTGTGTGTGTCTGTGTGCCCTGTGCCCTGCCTGTGTGTGTGTCTGTGTGCCCTGTGCCCTGCCTGTGTGTGTGTCTGTGTGCCCTGTGCCCTGCCTGTGTGTGTGTCTGTGTGCCCTGTGCCCTGCCTGTGTGTGTGTCTGTGTGCCCTGTGCCCTGCCTGTGTGTGTGTCTGTGTGCCCTGTGCCCTGCCTGTGTGTGTGTCTGTGTGCCCTGTGCCCTGCCTGTGTGTGTGTGTGCCCTGTGCCCTGCCTGCGTGTGTGCCCTGCACCCCTGTCTGCCCTTGCCTGTGTGCCGTTCCCCTGCCTGTGCCCTGTGCCCACCGTGCCTGCCCTTGCCTGTGTGTCCTGTGCCCTGCCCGTATGTGCCCTGTGCATGCCCTGCCTGCCCCTGCCTGCGTGTGCCCTGTGCCCCTGCCTGTGCTTGCTCTGCCTGCCTGCACTCACTTCTGCCTGCCAGCACCTCCCACCTTCCTGCACACACCCCCTTGCCTGCACCCCTGCCCCCACCCTTCCTGTCCCATGTGCCACCTCACTGCACACCCGCTGCCTGCCCTGCCTGCTGCTTTGCACCCCTCCCCTGCCTGCACCCCCCATACAGCCTTTCAATTCCCACCTTCTAGCTCCCCCTCCCGACAGGATTCCCAAGCAGCAGCCGCCAGGCTGGAGCTGCAGCCCAAGGGATGAGGAGGATCAGCTCCCAGGATTCCCACCTTGCACCAGCCTGGACAAGAAAGAGGTGCCAGAAGCAGCAGCTCAGCACCCCAGGGGGGCTGGGAGGCCAAACCCACCGCTGGCTGCAGGGGTGGGTCCACCAAGACCCCCTCTCCATGTAATTTCTTCCCACTTGATCCCTCTTCCAGGCTTGCAACCTTCTGCCTTTTCTACTCTGGAAATGTTAGGACTGGGACAACACCCACATGATGGGCTCAGGAGCACCGTGAATTTGGAAAGGACCCAAAGTCCTTCTCCTTCCAGTTCTGTGCCCTTGCCCAACCCAGACACCCTCCACACAGGTGGGTGATGCTCTCCAGGACTAACACAGCTCTCTGAGCTCTGCTCAGGGTGGTGGCACCTCCTGCCAAAGCTGCCACTGCAGGATGGGTGGGCTGAGCTCCTCACAGGTGATGCAGCAGGTGCTCAATGAGAAATCACAGAACAATTTGGGCTGGAACAAACCTTTAGGACCATCAGGTCCAACTGTCTCCCCAGCCCTGTCAAGGCTACCACTGACCCATGTCCCTCAGCACCACATCTACAGGGCTTTGAAACACCTCCAGGGATGGGGACACCACCCCTGCCCTGGGCAGCCTGGGCATGACAACCCTTTGGAGGAAGAAATTGTTCCCAAGATCCAACCTAAATCTCACATGGGCAACTTGAGGCCATTTCCTCTTGTCCCATCACTTGTTCCTTGGGAGCAGAGACCAACCCCCCTGGCTCCAACCTCCTCTCAGGCAGCTGCAGAGCCAGAAGGTCTCCCCTCAGCCTCCTTGTCTCCAGGCTGGACACCCCCAGCTCCCTCAGACACTCCTCCTCAGACTTGTGCTCCAGACCTTCCCCAGAACTGACCCTAGAATTCAAGGTGTCTCCTCAGCAGTGCCCAGCACAGGGGATGGTCACTGCCCTGGTCCTGCTGGCCACACCAGTGCTGACACAAGCCAAATGATATTTTCCAGGTCAACTTCATGACCGAGTTGAAGGGACACATGGTGAGGGATGTGGCTGCTCCTCAGGGAAGGCAGCACTAAGCAGGGCTTGGGCTCCAGGTTGGAGCAGGGACCCAGCACCAAACCTTTCTGTCTCAGCAGAGCTTCTCCAGTGAAAGAGGCCTCCAAGGCTCAAAGAAAGCACAGAGGCTGACCCAGGACACCAAACCAGCTCAAAAACTTATTCTGAAGACCTTTCCTTGGCCTTCTTCACACCTCTCATGACTGAGACCAAGAGGGACTCACCACTGGACGCTGCTTCTGGTTTGGAGAGAGACTCCTCCGAGGTGGGTTCTGCTGGCAGGGTCATCAACTGCTTGGCCTCATCCATTTCATCATCCTCTGGGATGACCAGCTTCATCAGGCTCTGGTTGCACACGTTTGCCACCTCCTTGATGTCTGAGAGGAGGCAGGGTAAGGAACACAATCCCACACACAACTGGATCTGGCCAACCATGGAGAAACCACCACAGACCCAGCCCAGCTCCTGCAACCCCCCTCACGTCCAAACCACCAAGGTGGCTTTCAGGACTTGGTGGGATGACTTCTCCTGGCCCTTGCCAGCTGTGCAGCTGGCCCTGCACTCCAGGGGCAGGGAAGAGGTGATTCCCTGGGGGCTGCAGGGCTGGGAACAGGTTGGGAAGCCCCAAGGATACTCTTCTTGCGATCGTCGTAGGAGAGACAGGGCAGGACAGCGGTGAGGATCCCCGAGGAGTAAGGCAGCATCACCCTGCCTGCCAGCTGGATGAACTCCCTCATCCAGCACATGGCTGTCAGCTGGATCAGGTCATCTAGAAGACACAGGACAAGGAGAGGTGAGGGAAAGTACACTCCTGGCAGCTCAGCAACCTCCCCAGGGCCACCTGCGAGCAGCTCAGCCCTGGAAGGGGCTGCTCCAGCTCCCGGTGCTCACCTGCTGCCTGGCAGTGGATCACCAGGATATTGGCCATCTCTGCAAACTTGACACTGGAGGGGTTCTTCTTGATCTCCTTGAGGAACTCCCCGAGAGCCACCTCACACCTGCAGAGAGGCAGAGCAGCTGGTCAGCACCCTGACACCTCGGGTGGAGAAGCTGCAGAGAGCAGTGTCTTACCTGGGCGCACAGGAGGATCCTGGGGGCACAGCACCTGTGCCTCCAGGCAAGGGCAGGAAGGACCAGAACAACTCCTCAGGGGCTCTGTTGAGCTTGAGGTGAGCCTGGGTGAACTCCTCAGAGAGGAGCAGGGGGCAGATGATCCCCCTTGTTCCTCACCATGTGGACACAGGGAAAACAAAGAAGCTGAGAGGACCTGGTAGGGCTTGGCAGCAGGACAGAGCCAGGCCAGTGCCACCAAATACTTGTGTCCTACAAAACAGGTCTAGTTCTGTCTCCTAGCACATGGATCCAAGATTCCCTGACCTTCTGAGAACACCCAGCCACTCCTCTGAAGCACAGAATTGTCAGGGTTGGAAGGGACCTCTGGAGATCACCTAGTCCATCCCTCCTTGCTAGAGCAGGATTGTCTGGAGCACCTTCCATGGGACTGGAATAACTTGGAATATCTCCAGAGGAGACTCCACACCCTCCCTATGCTGCCTGTCCCAGGGTTCTGTCACCTTCACAGTAGGTTTCTCCTCATGTTGAGATGGAACCTCCTGTGTTCCAGTTAGTGCCCATTGCCCTTTGTCCTGTCACTGGGAACTACTGAACAGTCTGGCTCCATCCTCCTGACACCCACCCTGAGATACTTCTAGACAAGGTCTTCTCCTCTCCAGGCTACACAGTCCCAGCTCTCTCAGCCTCTCCTCCTAAGAGAGATGCTCCAGTCCTCCAAATCACCTTCACTGTCCTCCTCAAACTGCCCCTCAGTCCTGAGAGCACCAACAGTTGCTCCCCCCCTGCACCCAGCAGGGTGCCCCTCCTGAGGGCATAGTTCCCACACCAGGCACAAGGCCTGAGACACAACAGTTTGTCCCCCAGCCCAAACAGGCCCCTGTGTCCCCACCCACCAGCCACAACAAGCCATGGAAGCCAAGGACACTTCCCACCCCCACCAAGCACACAGGGTTTCCCTGCAGTGACACTAAGGAGCTGCAAACCCATGAAGAGGGTGATGGGCAGACAAGGAGGAAGATGGACCAGCCTCCACACTCACATTTTCCTTATCTCCTTGCTGTTGTCTCCCAGGATCTGGAAGAGCCCATCCAGGATTTCTGGCAGGTAATCCAAGAGGTTGATGTCAGGCACAGACTCCAAGACCAGGATCTAGCTCAGGGAAGGAATAAAAAAAGAAGGGAGGTGAGTTGTGGAGACACTAACACCACCAGCACAAGTCTGGTGTGATACTGAAGAACTCAGAGCTGAGCATGGCCACCTGGCTGGGACAGGGGGAGAGGACAAGAGGACAGCATGGAGCTGCCCATCTCAGAAATAAGCCAGAGCAACAACCCTCCATCACTGCTGGGTGATGGAAAGCAGCCTGGCACAGTCCCCTGGGACACCATGACCTCCACACCACAGTGTAGCCATTGACACGAGCAAGACTTTGACTTGATCTTCTGACCTAGTCCTGGACCAGGTTGGCAGAAGTGCACTATGATGTCTCTGCAACAGTGAGCTGGGATTTTAAAGAAAGAACTGAAGAACTCTGCAATCCCAAATACAAACACAGGTTGGGTGGAGATGGGATCAAAACCAGCCCTGAGCAGAAAGACTTGGAGGTGATGGTGGATGAGAAGCTCACCATGAGCTGGAACTGTACACTTGAGCCCAGAAACCACCCGTGTCCTGGGATGTGTCACCAGCAGCATGACCAGCAGGGCCTGGGAGGGGATTGTCCCCTTTTCTGCTCTGGTGAGACCCCTGCAGGGCTGGGGCCAATTCTGGAGTCCCAACATAAGAAGGACATGGAGAGAGTCCAGAGGAGGCCACAGAGATGATCCCAGGGCTGGGGCAGCTCTGCTCTGGAGCCAGGCTGGGAGAGTTGGGATGTTCAGCCTGGAGAAGAGAAGGCTCCAGGGAGACCTTAGAGCAGCTTCCAGTGCCTGAAGGGGCTCCAGGAAAGCTGGGGAGGGGCCTGGGACAAGGGCAGGGAGGGAGAGGACAAGGGGGAAGGGATTAAAACTGGGAGAGGGGAGATTGAGGTGAGACATGAGGAGGAAATTGTGGAGTGTGAGGGTGGTGAGAGCCTGGCCCAGGTTGCCCAGGGAAGCTGTGGCTGCCCCATCCCTGGCAGTGTTGAAGGGCAGGTTGGATGGGGCTTGGAGCAGCCTGGGCTGGTGGGAGGTG